ATTTATTTGAATAAATAATTTATATAAAAGAAATTATCATCACTATTTTTTGATTTTTATTAAAACTTAAATTTTTTAGCAATATTTTAACTTAATTTTCATTTCAATTTTTAATTATTTATTTATTATTCATTTTTTTTTATTTGATATTTTTTCTTCACTTTTGCTATTAAAACTTACACTTAATAAAAGCTATTTATTTTTTTTACATAATAATATTTTTAATTATAAAAGTTAATATAAAACATTAAAGTTCTTTTAATTTATTTGATTTGTTTTCCTTTTTCTTTTTATTATAATTTCATATTTTTTAATTCTTTGTTAATTTTATTAATTATTAATTAATCTTTTATACCTATTTAATTTATATTTAAATAACATTATAAATAAAGCTAATTTTTAGAAAGCTTAACATATCATTATTTTTGAAAAAAAATAAATTTTAAAAATCAAGGATAGAATAAATTTCATAAAAAATATTAAAAATTTTAATTTTATAAAATGAAAAACTGGTTTATAATTTTTGATTGTGATATTTTTAATTATAAAAACTAATTTAAAACAACAAAGCTCTTTTTTCTTTTTCTTTTTATTGTGCTTGCTTTTTTTGTTCTTTCTTTCTTTATTTTTTTCTTTCTTTGTTAATTTATCTCATCATTTTATTTTCAAATTTTGCTTTTATTATTAATTAATTAATCTTATTATTTCATATTTTTTCTTCATTTTTTCCTTCTAATTAACTATTTAATGATATATTTTTTCTTCAATATTTAAAAAGTAAGAATAAAATTGGTGCAATGGGTGCATTAGGCTTAGGTTCTGCTTTAGCAAATTGCATTAATCTCTAAAATTTGACACTTGATCTTCGGTAAAAACAGTTTATTTGTTTTGGATTGTGATATTTTTAATTATAAAAACTAATTAAAAACAACAAAGCTCTTTTTTATTTTTCTTTTTAATGTGCTTGCTTTTTTGTTCTTTCTTTCTTTCTTTGTTAATTTAGCTCATCATTTTATTTTCAAATTTTGCTTTTATTATTAATTAATTAATCTTATTATTTCATATTTTTTCTTCATTTTTTCCTTCTAATTAACTATTTAATGATATATTTTTTCTTCAATATTTAAAAAGTTACAATTAAATTGGTGAAATGGGTGCATCAGGCTTAGGTTCTGCTTTAGCAAATTGCATTAATCTCTCAAATTTGACACTTTACCTTTGGTAAAAACAATTTATTTGTTTTGGATTGTGATATTTTTAATTATAAAAACTAATTTAAAACAACAAAGCTCTTTTTTATTTTTCTTTTTATTGTGCTTGCTTTTTTTGTTCTTTCTTTCTTTCTTTCTTTGTTAATTTAGCTCATCATTTTATTTTCAAATTTTGCTTTTATTATTAATTAATTAATCTTATTATTTCATATTTTTTCTTCATTTTTTCCTTCTAATTAACTATTTAATGATATATTGTTTCTTCAATATTTAAAAAGTGACAATTAAATTGGTGATGAAGGTGCATCAGGCTTAGGTTCTGCTTTAGCAAATTGCATTAATCTCTCAAATTTGACACTTAACCTTCAGTAAAAACAGTTTATTTGTTTTGGATTGTGATATTTTTAATTATAAAAACTAATTTAAAACAACAAAGCTCTTTTTTATTTTTCTTTTTATTGTGCTTGCTTTTTTGTTCTTTCTTTCTTTCTTTCTTTCTTTCTTTCTTTCTTTCTTTGTTAATTTAGCTCATCATTTTATTTTCAAATTTTACTTTTATTATTAATTAATTAATCTTATTATTTCATATTTTTTCTTCATTTTTTCCTTCTAATTAACTATTTAATGATATATTTTTTCTTCAATATTTAAAAAGTTACAATTAAATTGGTGCAATGGGTGCATCAGGCTTAGGTTCTGCTTTAGCAAATTGCATTAATCTCTCAAATTTGACACTTTACCTTCGGTAAAAACAGTTTATTTGTTTTAGATTGTGATATTTTAAACAAAAAAAATGAATATAAAACAAAAAAGCTCTTTGAATTTATTTGATAGCTTTTATTTATTTTATTTTTTTATCTTTTTTATTGAACTAATATTATTTTATTTATTAATTTAAAGAATAATTTTTAATTTAAAAGTTTATTCTATTTTGATATTTATTAATAATTTACACAAATTTATTATAATAGTTATAAACCATTGAATGAATCATAAATATTCAAAGTAATAAGCAAGTGTCGTAAATCAAAAAGATTAGTTGTCTTTAATATTGGTTTCTAATGATAAAAAACTGGTGAAAAAACGATGAATAAATATAAAATGTTTGAATAATATTATATATTTTATAATATAATATTTTGAAAAAAATTTAAACCTAAAATATAAATATAGATAGATTTTATTATTTATTATATTTATAAATATCATTCATATTTTTGTAAGTAAATAAATTATTTATAGAAAATAAAAAATTAAATGCTCTTAAGCAAACTCTCTGGTTTCTTCAAAAACGATCAAAAAATTTGAAACTTTTAGTGTTATATTACATCTTATTAAATTATATAAATGCCAAACTCTATATGCCAGTTATATTTTAATCTTAAATATTATGCATCAATCATATTTTTATCCTTTTTTTATTTATCTTGATTAATTAGATACCATGATTTAAATAAAACCTCAGGGAGAAATCAAGTATCACTTTTTATTTAAATTTTTTGTTTATCCTGGCTAAATAAATTAAATCAAGTTATTAATAATAAAGGGTATCTAACTATATGGATATAAACTATATTTTAGTTTTCTCAAAATATATTGCACATAATTAATTAAATTTATTTTATAATTTCTGAGAAAAATTTTGAATCTAAAAGCCAATGAATAATTTATTTATTAAAGAAAAAAAAAATACTTCTAAGTTATATACAATAAACAATTAAAATAGAAAAATAGTTAGATAGATAGAAAAATAGATCAAAAATTTAATCAGAAGAAGAAGATCTAAATACGATAAAATTTATAAAATATTTAATGCAGTAAATAGTTGTTCTACCATAAATTTATATTGTAAAAATACCTATACTGATTATGGTTATTTATCTACTATAAAGTATTATTTATTAAATTTAATATTAAAATTAATTAAAAAATAACTTAAAATAGTTGCTATTAAGTACGCAATTAAATAATATCTCAAAAAACTAATAAAAATCAATAAAAAAACAAAAATGAAAACTAGTTAGAAATCTTCAGTCTTAGAAAAAAATGAATTTTTTGAACTAAAAAAAGTTTTTATTTTATTTTATAAATTTATTAATATTAATTCTATTTTATTTAAAAAAAAAGTTTATAGAAGCAAATTTATCTTTTGAATAAATAAAGCATCTTAGCCTTGAATTAGAGTCAGAATACATTAATTATTTTTTAATAACTTCTGCTAAAATATAAATTATTTAAAACATACTCCTTAAAATAAATTTATTTGGTTAGTATTATAATAATTATTTTATTACTGCCATTAAAATAAAATTTTTTATAACTTTCCTTTAATTTTATTAAAATTAGAATTTTAATATTTAATTTGAAATTGACTAAATACTATTTAATTCCTGCTTCTTTCTTTTAAAGATTAAATTTATTTATTTATTTTTTTAATTTAATAAGAAAACTTACTAAAGATGATTTTCCAATAATAGCTTCTAAAATTGAAAAGTGTTCCAATCTCAAATATTTAAATCTTTAGTTTTGGTATAAAATATTTTAATTTTAATCATCTTTATGGTATAAAATTTTATTTTTTTATCTAATTATAAACTTTTATAGCCAATCAAATAGAAAAATTTTTAAAAGCCCAAAGTTATTATCTATATTAGGAATCAGCTTAACCAAATGCAAGAATTTATGTGCTTTGTAAATGAACTTTTCGTAAATTATTAATTATTTTAAATACTAGTTAGTATAAGTAAAACTTTCTATAAAAGGCTTTAAGAAATTGGAGAAAAAGGAGGATTTGTTATTGCTTCTATTATAAGAGGTTGTAAAAATCTTCAAATATTTAATCTTTTTGGATTGTAAGCTACATTTTACTAAACTAATCATTTTAATAATTTTAATTTAATATTTATAAAAATACTTTAAGTTATTTTTATTATTTGTAAATACATTATTATTTATAAATTATATTAGTGAAAGTAGTATAAGAGGTGAAGGATTATCAAGAATAGCTACTGCTTTATCAAAGTGCCCAAATCTTAAAAAGCTTATGATATCTATATGGTAATTAATATAAATACATTTAAAAATATTTTATATACTTATGTTTATTCAACCAAATTAAAAGCGCAGATGCCATTAACGATGAAGATTTAGAAAATTTAGGATCTAATTTAGCAAAATGCTAAAGCTTGTAAGAATTCAGTCTTAATATTAGGTATTTAGATCAAATTTTCAGTTTAACGTTTTTAATAATTAAATTTTTTATAAATTTTATAAAATTAAAAAGTGATAATTGCTTTAGTGACAATGGTTTATCTAAATTAGGCTTAAATTTAGCTAAATCTGTTAATATAAAAGTATTGAAAATAAATACTTATGATAGAGATCCTACTGATATAAAACCTACTTCTAAAGGATATTACGATTTGTGTGTTCCTTTATCGAATTTAAGGAATCTCAAAGAGTTTTCACTGGGTTTTTGGTATTATTTGATTGGTTTATTTTACTTATTTTTTCCTTAAATATTGAATAAAACTTTTTTGGGCTAAAATGTTGTAATTATAATTTTAAAGCTGGGAACTTGATAATGCATGCTTATCTTAAGTTGGATTAGCTCTAAAAACTTGTAAAAATCTATTGAAATTATCTCTTGCAGTAGAGTAAATATATTTTTATCTGACAAATTATATGCTTAAAGAAAAATTTCAACATTAATTGAATTAATTAAAATAACTTAAATAAATAAGTTTTGAAGTAACAGATTAATACATTGAAGAGTTTTATTCTCACATTAAAAATTATAGTAATCTAATCTAATTAGATCTTTTTATAGGGTAAAAAGTTTAATAAACATAATTAATAATTTTTAGAATTATCAGTTTCTTAATTAATTATTTACTTATATTTTATTTATACAATATATAGCGATTAAGAAATTAATAGGAAGAAGATAGAAAGAAAAATTTTAAAAATGCCAAGAATATGGCACTTTTTTTTGGGCAAAAAAGATACTTAGGGAATGCCTTAATTAATGAGCATTTACAATATATATGTGATTAAAGTGTAAGCTTAAATCTGTGATATAATTATTCACATTCTATATTTTTAAACAAAAAAAGAATAAATACAACATGAGTAATAAATTAATTATAAATTTAAAACAAAATATTTATAAATGTAAAATAAAAATATAAAAAATAAATTTAAATCTAAAAAAAACAAAAATTTAATTTAAAAATAAATTATGAATAAAATTATAGTATTAATAATTTCTTAAAATTTTAATTGATAAATAAAAAATAAAATTAAAAAAATAAAAAAACATAAAATTAATTTTAAACAAATTTTTAAGTTAGCAAAATAAAAATACTATATAAATTATAAATCAATTTATTTATTATCTTAATTTTACGAGTAGCATGCTACCTAATGAAAAATACACTTCAAATAACTACATATATATTTAAATCCTTACCAAATAAATTAAATCAAGTTATTAATTAAAGGGTAACTAACTAACTAACTAACTAACTAACTAACTAACTAACTAACTAACTAACTAACTAACTAACTAACTAAATATATGGATATAAATTTATTTTAGTTTTCTCAAAATATATTTTATGTCATGAATTAATTAAATTTATTTTATAATTTAGGTCAAAAATTTTTTACCTAACAACCAAAGCATAAATAAATCAAAAATTTAATCAGAGGAAGTAGATCGAAATATCATAGAATTTATAAAAATATTAAATGCAGTAAATACATGTTGTACCATAAATTTATATTGTAAAAATTCAAAATATTGATTTTTGCTATTTAATTCTACTTTAAAGAATAAATTATTTAATTTAATATCAAAGATAAATTAAAAAATAACACAAAATAGTTGTTATTAAATTATATTGGTTTTTGAATACGTAATAAAGTCATATTTAGAAAAATAAGAAACTAATTTTTTATTAGTCACCAAAAAACTAATAAAAATTAATAAATAAAACAAAAATGAAAACTATTTAGAAATCTTTGGTCTTAAAATAAAATACATTTCTTGAACTATAAGATGTTTTTACTTTTTTTCATAAATTTATTAATATTAATTCTATTTTATTTTTAAAAAAAGTTTATACAAGCAAATTTATTGTTTGAATAAATAAAGCATCTCAACCTTGATTTTGAGTCAGAATTCATAAATTATTTTTTAATAACTTCTGCAAAAATATAAATTATTTATCACACACTCCTTAAAATAAATTTATTCTGTTAGCATTATGAAGATTATTTTTTTACAACCATGGATTTTATTTAAGCCAATTTAATAATATTTTTTATGATTTTCTTCTAATTTATTAAAATTATTTAAATCATTGAATTGACTAATAATTATTTAATTCCTGCCTCTTTCTTTTAAAGATTAAATTTATTTATTTATTTATTTTTTTAATTTATAAAGAAATCTTAATAAAGATGATTTTCCAATAATAGCTTCTAAAATAGAAAAGTGCTCCAATCTCAAATATTTAAGTCTAAATTTATATGGATAAACTTAAATCTCAAAGTAATTATCTATATTAGGAGCCAGTATAACGAAATGCAAGTATTTATGCGCTTTACAAATGGACTTATCGTAAATTCTTTTTATTTGAAATACTAGTTTTTAAAAAATTTCTAATTATTTCACAACAAAAGATAAAGAACCATTGGAGAAAAAGAAGGAGTTGTAATTGCTTCTATTATAAAAGGTTGTAAAAATCTTCAAATATTTAATCTTTTTGGATGGTAAGTTACAGTTTATTAAACTATTAATTTCAATAATTTTAATTGAATATTTTTAAAAACACTTTAAGTTATTCTGCATTATTTGTAAAAAAATTATTATTTATCAATTAAATTAGGGAAGTTTATCTAAGAGGTGAAGGATTATCAAGAATAGCTACTGCTTTTTCAAAGTGCCCAAAGCTTACTAAGCTTGTGATATCATTTGTGTAATTAATATAAACATATTTTAACAAATATATTATATATTTATGGTTATATAGCCCTTAAAACACATGTTAAATTAGCGATGAATTGTTAGAAAATTTAGGATCTGCTTTAGTAAAATGCTAAAAATTGTAAAAATTGAGTATTTCAATTAGGTATTTTGATAAAATTTAATCTAAGATTAACATTTTTACTTAATAAATAAAATTATTTATAAATTATATTATTAAAAAAGTAATGCTTTTTTAAGCGACAATAGTTTATCTATATTAGGCTTTAATTTAGCTAAATCTGTTAATTTATAAATATTGAAAATCAATACTTATAATATATAAACTAATACAAAACTTACTTCTAAAGGATATTATGATCTGTGTATTTCTTTATCGAATTTAACGAATCTTAAAGAGTTTTCACTGGATTTCCAGTATGATTTGATAAGTTTATTTTGTTTATTTTCTCTTTTAATATCTTAAAAATATTTTCACTAAAATTTAATAATATTATTTTTATAGTTGGTAACTTGATGGAGTATGTTTATCTTAAGTTGGATTAGCCCTTTAAGCTTGTAAAAATCTATTGAAATTATCTCTTTCAGTACAGTAAATATATTGTTAACTGACAAATTATTCGATTAAAGAAAAATTCCAACATTTATTTAATTAATTAATAAAACTAACTTAAATAAATTAGTTTTGAACTAAAAGATTAGCATGTTGAAGAGTTTTTTTTTCACATTAAAAATTATAGAAATCTAATCTAATTAGATATTTTTATAAGGTAAAAAATTAATAAAAAATAATTTATTAATTAATAATTTTTAGAATTATCAGTTTCTTTCTTTCTTTTTTACTTACTTACTTATTCATAGATATTTCTATCATTTGTGGTTCTAAAAATCAATAAAATAATACATTAAAATATATATAACAGTGAGGAAAAACATAATATTGAGAAGATCTAAAGAAAAATTTTGAAAATGCCAAGAATGGTTTGTTATTCTACTTAGCATTTACTTTATACAGAATTTACATAAACAGATTATTTAACGTTTCCAGCTTTTTATGCTTTAGAGGAAAAAAGTTGTCTTCAATAATAGGATAGTATAAAATTAAATGATTCCAATGAAATTGATCAAATAAATGAAAATAATAAAAATTCAAAGCAAGGTGATTTTTATGTTGATAATGAATAAACAAATAATGAACAAGAAGAAAATTCAGATTAAAGTTATTTAGAAGGCTTTAATCAACAAAGTGAAAGCGAATATAATGAAAACTAAAATTTATCTAATATTGAAGATGCTATTAGTTTTGGAGATAGTGGTTAAGATGACGAATATATTGAAAAAAAGTATGATGAAGAGCACAATGCTGCTGATAAATATGATGATAATGCTATGCAAGATGGCTCTAACTAAGAATATTAAGATTAAAAGCAGTAAGATGATGACCATCAGTCCAAATAATAATAGTGAAAAATTAAATATTAATTTAATAAAGTTGATCAATCAAAGAATCCTTTAGTTTTTTAGATATCACAGCGAATTAATTATACTACTCTCTATATATTCAATAAATACCATACATATTATAATTAAAGGATTATTTTTTAATAATTATATTGTATTTTTATTAAATTAAAAAAATTATAAAATATGGTGAAAATTTATCTTTGCTAGTGAGAATTTATGAGGATTTACAGCATATAAATTTATTTAATATTATATTAATCTCTATTACTAAAAATTATTGTAGTATTTAGTATATTTAATGCTAAAATTTAGTAATATACTTTTGCATATCTCCAAATAAATGTTCATCAAAAAAATAAGTTGTAGTTACTTCTAATTTTTTTAAAATCTTATAAATTTAATTAGGATTTGTTTGAAGTGATTAAAATTATGACTTAAAAAAATTATAAATTACCAATGATCATTTTTTATCTAAATAAAGTTATTCCTGCATCTGAAAAATCACCAACTGTTTGTGAAATCATGAGATGCGATATTTCAAACGATTATAATATCAATGATTAATATTTTTTTCTTCTATTTCATAATTATTTTTTTTATATTTATTTTTAAAATGCCTACGAAACTTAAATTAATTGTTTCTATTTTTTCAACTTGAATAACATGATTAAATCTTATCAATTTATAACAAAAAAGATATTTTCTTGCATAAAAAATTAAAAAACTAAGTCTATATTCATATATTATAATTTTATAAAAATTTTATGTTAATAAGTATTCATATTAACATATTTATTCATTGATACTCATGATAATTAATCATAAAGATTGATAGTTATGAGATAAAAAATTGATTTAAAAAAATAATAAATATTATTTTTTATGATTTAAAAAAAATTATTTTTTTAATATAAAAATCCTATCAATAAAATAAAATTTAGCTGTTTTTTAAGAAGATTTTAAAAATTAAAATCATTTAAATAACACTAAAATTTTTAATTTGTTTTGAACTTTTACAAAATTATATCTGTTAATTGTACTAAGATAAATGGTAAGCTTGATTTTTATAAGGAATAACTTTATAATATTAATACAGAAATATTTGGTGTCAAACAAACTTACTCTCTTGTATTAAACACTGGAATACAAATAAAAATCAATTTCTTTTATATTTTATTAATTGTAATTTTTGGCTTAATAAAAATTTGATTGTTGATTCAAAAAAAATGACATAAGAAAAATAATATTTTCGAAAACTAGAAGATGTAATTCAAATATATATTCTCTATCTTAAGTTTAAATTTATTTTTTTAATAAAAAAAGTTTTTAATTTGTGAAACGTTATCTCTTTACACAGAGCTTGAGATCAATCTTAAGTATATAATATAAAAATTCTTGATTTTTTGAATAGTTAGTTAAATTTTAAAATAAAGGATTTTAATATTTTTAACAAGTATTCTAAAATACATTTTATAATTATTACAGAATTCACATATTTGTATTATTTATATTCTTAACAATATATTTTAGTTTTAATTAATTATTTATTTTATCTTAAAAATTTATATATTTATCTTAAAAGTTGGAACTAAATAGACATACAAGGATCTTCTCATTTAGGTTCTGCTTTAGCAAAATGCACTAATGTCTAAAATTTGATATTAAATCTAGCGTAAAAACTTTGCCATAGAGTTTTTATTTATTTATTTTTATATGATAATTAATGATATTTTAAATTTCTTTAATTATTTCTTTTAATTAAATGTATTTTTCTAAATTTTATACACTGATTTGAAATTTGTTTTTATCATATCTTTATTTTTTTCTTAGATTTTTTATAATTTATTTCAAATTAAATTAAGGAAAAATTTAATTTGTGATATAGGAATTTAAGCTATTTCTATGGCTTTAGAAAATTGCACTAATCTACAATTTTTGGCACTTGACCTCTTGTAAAAAAATTATTCCTTATTATTTATTTAAAAAGCTTGATGTAGCAAAATAATTTTTTTTCAATCTAATTTTTATTTTAAATTTTATTGTTTTTTTAATAAATTTTATTTAAAATATTTAAATATTTTTAATTTATCTATTTTTCTTTATCTTTAATATAAAAAGTGACAATTAAATTACTAATTAGGGTGCATCTACTTTAGGCAATTCTCTAGCAAATTGTATTAAATTAACAAATTTATCACTCAACATGAAGTAAAAATATATTTTTTTATCAAATATTACTTCTAGGGCATACTTAAAAATGATTAAACTCTTAAATTTAATCTTAATTATCATTTTTTATATTAAATTGATGATATAATTTGTATTTTTGTTCTTTAACTAAATTATTTTTGCAATACATAAAAAGCTGTAATTAAATCAGTGCTTAGGGTGTGTTAGATTTAAGCTCTGCCATATAAAAGTGCAGTAATCTTTCAAGTTTATCATTACAACTTCAGTAAATATATATATTTTTTTTGTTATTTTAAAATAGACAAAAATAATTTTCTAGTTTTTTAAGATTTTAAAAGCTGAACTTAATAAATTTTATTACAAATTATCATTTTACCTAAAGTCCTAATATATTTATTAAAAATTTAATAATAGCGGTAATACGCTTGGTGCTTATGGTGTATAAGCTTTAGGTTCTAACTTATCTAAGAGTGCTAGTTTATAAAATTTAACACTAAATATCTAGTAATAATATTTAAAACATTCTTCATTTATTTATTTATTTATTATTCATTCTTAAATTTCCTTTTAAAATAAACTTATGCAATTAAAAATTTAATTTTTCAATAAAATTTTAAAATATTTAAATTTATTTTTAAAAAAGAGGTAATTAAATTCATGACGAAGGTGCAGTAAGTTTAGGTTCTGCTTTATTAATGTGTAATAATCTTAAAATTCTTAACCTCAATCTCTCGTAAATATAAACTCTTTATTTTTATTCTTTTAAAAGAATGTAGATCTTATGAAAAAATAATCATACTTTTGTTCAATACAATTCTAGAATATTTAAAATTATTTATTAATTTATTTATTTTATTTTCAATTAATACTTTTAATTTTAAATTTATGGTTTATTTATTTATTAATTGTTTGACGTTTAATTATTTACAAATTATTTTATTTAAGTTAATTAATTTTTTTAATTTAATTTAAAAAAGAAGCAATTAAATTAGTTTTTAAGGAGCATATTCGCTAATTAGGGCTTTAAGAAATTGTAATAGACTCTCTATTTTTAATCTCATCATAAGGTAAGTAAGTATGTTATTAATTAATTAAATAATTTATTTTTTAGAAGAACGAATTGATATAGAAATCATCTATTTTTACTCACTTGAATTCTTTATTAGTTAACATTTTAGGTATCATTTTTTAGCTAGAATTTAAATAAAAATTATTTTTTTTTTAATAATTAATTTTAAAATTTGCTTTTAAATTATATTTATTAAAAGATATAATTAGATTAATTATGAAGAAAAATACCAATTAATTAATCAAGCTTATAAATATAAAAGACTTGTTGAAAATACAATAAATTTGTGATATTTTATAAATTTAAATTAATTGTTTGAAGAATATAGATATTCTTGTATTTTATTTTTGTACTTTTAAATTAAATTTATTCATTTGATCATAATATTTTATTCAGAAAACAGTAATTTTTAAAAAAAAATTTAATGCCACTTTCTCATAAGTAAAAAAAGTCAAAAAATTTTTTTATTCTACTAACACAGTCATGTTGCCAATATCTATTATATATTAATTTCAAATATTACTATTGCTATAAAAGTTCATAGTAAATTAAAGTTTACTTGTATCAAACCCGTCTAGCTCAGTCGGTAGAGCGCCAGCCTTTTAAGCTGGTGGTCGAGGGTTCGAGCCCCTCGGTGGGTGATTATTTTTTAATATAAAATTATAGTTTCTATAAATTCAAAGCAAATAAATGTTCTATTTTTTATAATAAGAAAATATCATTCAAATTTATTTATCTATTCATTCTTCTATTTCAGTTTAAGATTTTTATCTAAAAGTTATAGATTAAAAAATATTTATAAATAAATAAAGAAGTATTGTATATTATGAAATAACTTAGTACTCTATTCTTATTTAAAATAAGTATCTATCTATATATCTTAGTTTATAAAATTTTACATTCGTTCATCATATTAAAAGAATTATTGTATTCAGTTTTTTTATTGACACAAGATTAAAATGAAAAAATTTTTAAATAGCTATTAAAAAATAAGATTTTCAATCATTAAAGATAAAGTTATTAGTTGGAAATATTAATAGAATATCAATTAGATAGGATATCTATCTATATAGTAGGAGTTTTGGACTAATTTATTATAACTAGTGTTATATAAAAAGTATTTAAATTTAAACTAAATTCCAATAAAAATATTTAAATAAAAATAAATAAGATCAATGATTTTAATTTTATTTTTAATTTAAAACAACACTAATAAGAATGAGCAAAACTAAAATAAAGCATTAACTAAAATCATAAATAATTAATTCATATTTCTATCATAACTTTAACAGTTCTTTTCATTTTTTTGGCTCTTTGATTTAATTTTTTTAGAATGTCTTAACCATTTATGTAATTATTCCTATTATAATAGATATAAATTGATATCATAATTAAAATAATTTCTTATAAGGAATTCAAAGCATCGAAATGAATTAGCAATAAATATTATTTTATTTAATAATTAAAAGAATTTATTATTTTAAATAAATAATAAAATTTTATAAAATTAAATACCTTAGATTAAGTTTTAAATAGGTTAGAAAGTTTAATTTTCTTTGTAATAAAAAGATAGGAAAAAGAGGAAAAAAATTAAATTAAAGAAGCTAATTGACAAATTACTGAGAAATTATTGTATTTAATTCAATTATTATTTAAAGACAAAATTTTGTATACCCGCATCAATCAAATATTTAGAATAATAAAAACCACTTTAAATGATTTCAAACAACAATCAACACACAATTATATCTTTCTAAGAAAATTTTGGAAACAAATAAATTGATAAAAAAATAAAATGATAAATAAAAAATGAATAAAAAATCATAAAATTAATGTTTTAAAATCTATATAATAAAAAATATTTATAAAAAATGATTATTAATCAAAAACAATTTATTCCTTTCTAAATAAAAATTTCACCCACCGAGGGGCTCGAACCCTCGACCACCAACTTAAAAGGCTGGCGCTCTACCGACTGAGCTAGACGGGTTTGATACAAATAATTTATTGTTTTTCATAAACTTTTATAACTAAATTCATTTCAAAATTAACTTTGAATAGATCTTTTTTTTTATTTTACTGATATTTTATTTAAAATCTGTATTATAAATAATATCTATCAAAAATGATTATAAATCAAAAACAATCTATTCATTTTTAAATAAAAATTTCACCCACCGAGGGGCTCGAACCCTCGACCACCAGCTTAAAAGGCTGGCGCTCTACCGACTGAGCTAGACGGGTTTGATACAAATAATTTATTGTTTTTCATAAACTTTTATAACTAAAATAATTTTTAAATTAACTTTGAAAAGATCATTTTTTTTACTTTTTTCGAAACCAAAGTTTTTTAAAATATTGTAAATAACTTAAATTTTAAATTTATTTTATTAATCACTATTAGAGATAATAAGAAAAAAGTAGTTTTTAAATAAATATTTTATTTACATGTTAATGTTTTAAGAAAAATTCGATAAGTTAAGAGATAATTTGATAAGTGACTTAAATTCCATCCTAAGATTTAAACATTATACTTAATAATATAATATAGTTTCATAATAAATTGAGTTAAACTATAGAATTCCTTTATCTACACAGTTGTTAATCAGGTATTTCTTTGTAATTGAAGGCACCGGAGCAGGTAACTAACATCCATAAAACAAGACCAATTTTTTAGAGATAATTTACTTAATATACTTAGAAGGATTAAGTATAGTATAAATAATATATTCTTTAATAGATCTATGCAGGAGTTTTTAGCGTTGCAATAATTTATCTTGGTGAAATTATTAAGTAAATTTAAATATAGTATCCTCTCTCTCATAAATACTAGCTTTGGCCAATATCATTGTTATTCAACTAACTATTTTAGGTATTTTTGGAAGATAAGAATTCTATCAAAAAAGGCTTTTTTATGCTTTCTTAGAAATATATATTAAAGCAATTAAATTTAAAAATTTTAAAGTTGCAAGCTAACAAAATAATTAGAAATTCTACAATATGGGAATCATAAGAAATTAAAGTTATTGAAAATTAACAAAAAACTGAAATGTGAGTAAATTTACTAATAAAACCCTTATTTCTAAGAGCGCGCTGTTTATAAATAAAAGTAATCCATTAATTATGGTTTTTATTCTATACAAAAAATAATAATTGAATGATCCTAATTTTAAACCAGTAGATTTAATTAAAAATATAACATTAATTCTCGAATGATCTTTTAGCTTTAAAAAAAGATCAAAAAATAAATTTTTAAATAAGATCTGAATAAAACTCAATTGTAGAATAGTATCAAATATTAAATTACAAAATAGTAATTTAATGAAAAGGCCTATCTTTGATTCCTAGTCTGAAAATAATTACTGTCTATAAAACGAAAAATTTTAACTAAATTAACATCGAAATATAAGTAACTTATTAGTTGCTAACGTTATTCATATAGATTAGAAATTGCTTAAATTCCAAATAGATAATATCTAAGGAATTAAGAATAAAATTAGCAATTTTTTTATCTGCTTGCAAGAATATTAAAAATCAGAAATAAACCACAAAAACCATGAAGATTGATAATAAATAAAAGAATAAAATAAATCATGTTACTCAGAGGGACTCAATCATTAAAAATTATTAATGATATTACAAGATTACAAAATTTAATAAAAAAATAGGTCTTTCTCCAACTTAATAATAAATTATAATTACCTACCCTAAATATAAATAAACTATACATATTCCTATGTAAAAATTAATAAAATCTTATTATTTAATCAATGGCTTAAAAAAATGTATACAGTAAAAAATTAATTTAAACCAAATTAGAATACTCTACATTATTTTATAAGTAATATTTGTCAAATGTACTTTAAAAATTGTATTGCAATCACTTTAGTTTTTAATATATTTTGATTATAATTAAAATTTAAAAGTTAATTTATTAAAATCTTTTAAAACTAAATTCTTTAAATAATTGCTCTATTTTCGTTTTATTATTAAATTCAGTAAAATAAAAATATCAAAATTGAAATCTTAGAAAGAAACATAAAAATAGAGATGGTTTATTCAAAATTTGACTTATTTTCTTCATAATTTAATTTTAACATTGATGGCTAATAAAGAAACAAAGGAACTCTCTTTGGTACAATCCTTACTGTAATTGTTGGTATCTCTACTCTTACATATTTTATTTATATTATGGAGCAATACGCTACTAACCAGATTGAGCCTGCTTTCAGATCTTAAAGTTTTATAACTAATGATAGACTTGATATGCCTTTAACTAATGATTTAGTTGGATTCAGATTCGAAGCTGGCGATGGCCTTCAAGGTAACTCTAAAGATAAAACATTTTTAGTTTATATGGCTTTCTTTTATTACAGTGCTCCAAATATTAATTAATTCATCCAGCTCGATGTTATTGAATGTACAAACCCTAATCTAGAAGGCTTTTATTGCTTGGACTTTTCGAAAGTTTCAAATTACACTCTAGCTCTAAGCAATAATGAAAACATCAAATCGAATATCGAGATTTTCACTTATGGATGCTTGGATATAGATAGCATCAAGACAACTGTACCAAAAAACTGTGCTAATTAAACTGAAATAGATAATTTGATAAATGGCTTTAATTCCATCCTAAGATTTAAACTATTTACTTCATAATATAATACTACTTCATAACAAATTGAGTCAAGTTACAGGAATGCCTTTATCTACACAGTTGCTAACTAGGCTATTCTTTCGTAATTAAAGACACAGAAACAGGTAACATAAATAAAACAAGGACCAATCTTTTAGAGAGAATCAGCTTTCTCTTCACCAATATAATATACTTAATAGGATTAGGTATAGGATAAATAATATGCTCTTTAATAAACCGGTGCAGGAGCTTATAGCATAGCAGTAATTTACCTTGATGAAATAGTTTAGTAAATTTAAATCTAATATCCTACTCTTCCATAAGTGCTAGCTTCTGTTAACAGTATTTTTACACTACTAATGATTTTAGGTATTTTTGGAAGATATTTCTCATAGAATTCTATCAAAAAAGACTTTTTTATGCTTTTCTTCAGAAATATGTATTAAAGCAGTTACATTAAAATTTTGTAAAGTTGTAAGCTAATTAAATAATTAGATAGTCCATAATATGAATCATAAGAAATTAAATTTATTGAAAATTAAGAAACAACTGAAGTGAGAGAAAATTTACCCATAAAACCATTATTTGTACCAGCATTTGTTTACAAATAAAAGAAATCCCTCGATCTGGGTTTTTAAGACGATTTAAAACATAATAATAATTGCAATAATCCTAATTTGGAACCAGTAGATTTTAATTAAAAAATATAACGTGAATGCATCTCACAAGATTTTGAGGAAAATAAAAATGAAATTAATTCTAGAATAATTTTTTAGCTACAAAATAAAGATAAAAGATTAAATCTATAAAGAACATCTTAATCAAACTCAATTGTAGAATAATCATCAAATATTAAATTGTAAAATAGTAATTATCAGATGAAGTCTATCTTTGATTCCTAGTCTGAAAACAGTTACTGCCTTTAAAAAGAAATCTTCTAACTAAATTAACATCGAAAAATAAGTAATTTAATTAATTGCTAGCGATAGTCTGATAAATAAAAAATTCCTTAATTTCCAAATAGATAATCTCCAAGGAATTAAGAATAGATATAGCGACATATATAATTTACATAAGAAGATTAAAAATCAGAAATAAATCATGAAAACAATTAAGATTAATAATAAATGACAGAATAAAATCAATAATTTTACACAGAAGTGGATTCAATCATTGAAAATTTACCAGATGACGATAATACAAGAATAGAAAATTAAAAAGAAAAAATTGTTGAGATTTCCTCTAATAAAAAAGTACCATCAAGTTTTGTAAATTCTATGAAGCGTCCATCTATTGACACAAAAATTAGTTAAGAAAATAAAAAAACAGAATTGAATTAAAATTTTTACATTTAAAACATGTAAAATATTTACAATTAGAACATGAAAACAAAAATCTAAGATGTTTTATTTAGAATGAGGTAAAAAATTATAAATTTGATGAAAGCAAATTGATTATCTTTATTTATTTATTAATTTTTAAAAGTTTGTTCAAAAAACCAAGTAGTGAAGTAAAGGAGTTGGATAACTAATCATTCAGATAGATTGAAGAATAAATTGCTAAAGAAATGAATATCATGAATATTATAAAGGATATCATATTTTTGAAAAAAGCAGTAATGATGATACTAACTAAAGATCAATTAGCAACTCTGCAACTTATTGGATGTTCATCAAGCTTTTTAGATCTTAATCTAAATAATATGAATGTGAGCTTTGAATAACTAGGTAAAATTTTATATTTGTTTAAATTTCATATTTATTCATTCTTATAAATTAATTAACCAGAAAAAGAAAAAAATCTAAGCCATTACGAAAGTTAGCTTGCCATTTTATAATCAGAAAAATATATGGAAGAAAATTTAGTAAAATTCTTAAATAGAAATCAGAATAGTTCAAATCAGAGTATCTTAGATTAAAGAATTATATTTTCGCTTAAAAAGAGTTATATAAATTGATAAAAATATGTTTAATTTGTTAATAATATTATTACCTTTATGAAATTTGTTTATTTAAAACATTATCTAAGGTAATTAATTTTTAAACATTTTATTATTTTGATTTAAATTATTAATTCTATTAATTCAAAAATAAAATATAGTTTATTGCTAATCAATTTCCATACTTTGAATTCCTACTAAAAAATCATTTTTTTTTATGATATCTTTATTTATTAAAATAGGAATAATTATATAAATGATTAAGACGTGCTAAAAAAATTAAACCAAAGAGCCAAATGAATGAAAAGAACTGACAGCATTATGATAGAAATATGATTAAATTATTTATTATATGATTTAGTACTTTATTTTAGTTTATTTTCGCAAGCTAATTTATTAGCTTTGTATGATATGGAAAATTTATTTAATTGATTTTTTTTTCTTATTGTTTAAATATTTTTATTGGAATTTAGTTTGAATTTAAATACTTTTTATATAAAACTCGTTTTAATCAATAAATGCAAAACTCCTACTAGATAGATAGATATCCTATCAATAATTCCAAGTAATATTTTAATAAAATATTGAATAGCTAAAATTTTAATATCTCATGAAAATAGTTAATGATAGCTGATACTTTTAATATTTTCTTTAAATATTATAAAATTTTATTGATATTCTATCTAATTAATTAACAATCTTAAAATTTTCAAATCTTTCATTTTATTTGAAGAAAACTCTCTTAAGCTTAAATTAATTATTAATGACTATAATCTTTATTTAGATTTAACTTAAAAGTTTTATCACATTCTTTGAAATCTTAAATTCATATTAATTAAGTTTCTCATTTTTTTTCAATTATTGAAACTTTAAGATAAAAACCTTAGATTTAAACAGAAGAATGAATGAATATATAAATTACTTTGAATGATATTTTTATATAAAAAAATAGAAAAAAGATGTTTTGAATTGATAGAACTATAATTTTATACTAAAAATAATCACGCACCGAGGGGCTCTAACCCTCTACCACCAGCTTAAAAGGCTGGAGCTCTACAGACTGAGCTAGACGGGTTTATTTATAACTATAAATTCAATTTTTTGGGTGTTTTAATGAAGTTATTCTAAAATTAGTTTTGGTTTAATTGAAACTCCTTAAAAAAAATTTTAATAACTTCTTGTTTGATTATAAAATAATGATTTGCAATAAAATAAAAAATCACCCACCGAGGGGCTCGAACCCTCGACCACCAGCTTAAAAGGCTGGCGCTCTACCGACTGAGCTAGACGGGTTTAATACAAATAATTTATTGTTTTTCATAAACTTTTATAACTAAAATAATTTTTAAATTAACTTTAAATTGATCTTTTATTTAATTTTATTTAAATCCAAAGCAAATAATATATATTTTAAGTAGTTTAAATTTATTTTTTTAGATTTATTTATCAATAGCTCCAAGAGATAATATGCAAAAAGGAGTTTTTTAAATAAATATTTTAGATTTAAATTATAAAAATATTTTTAAATAATTTAATATTTTAAGGCAAAATGATAAGTAAATGTTTCCTCAACCAAAACTTTTTGCTATTTTTAATTTTTATAAGCTAGTTTTATTTTGTATTCTCTTCTAAAATCCTTTATTATTGGATGAAATCAAAAGTTCAAGCATGATTTTTATATTAAAGAGTTCATATTCTAATAAAGTACTTCAAATCTTTTTTTGAATTTATAATCATGAAAAAAAACAGGAAAATACTAGTTGTATTTCTATAAAGGTATAAAACAAAAAATTAAAATTTAAAATTGGATTTATTTTCTTCATAATTTAATTTTAGCATAGATGGTTGGTTAATAAAGAAACAAAGGAACTAACTATATTTGCTACAATCCTTACTTTAATTATTTGCATATCTACTCTCTCATATTTCATTTATATTATTAAGCAATATTAAACTAATCAGATAGAACCTGCTTCAGATTTAAAATTTTATGACTTATGATAGGCTTGATATGCCTTTAACAAATGATTTAGCTGAATTCAGATTAGAAACTGTTAATGGCCTTTAATGTAACTCAAAAGACAAAATAATTTTAGTTTATATAGCTTATTTTTATAACATTTCTCTAAATATTAATTATTCCTTCAGCTTGATGCTATTGAGTGTCTAAAACATAATCTTATAGGTTTTTATTACTTGGACTTTTCAAATGTTTAAAACCACACTTTAGCTCTAAGCAATAATGAAAACATCAATCCAAAATTGAGATTTTCACTTATGGATGTTTGGGTATAGATAGCTTTAAGACAACTATACCAAAAAGCAGCGCTAATTAAACTGAAATAGATAATTTGATAAATGGCTTTAATTCAATCCTAAGATTTATATAATATATTTCATAATAAATTGAGTTAAGCTACATGAATGCTTTTATCTACACAGTTGCTAATCAGGCTATTCTTTGTAATTGCTGCATCAGCAGGTATCATCAATAAAATAAGGACTAAACTTTTTTTGAGAGGATGATTTACTTTCTCTTCACTAATTTTATATATTTAGTAGAATTAAATGTAGGATAAATAATATGCTCTTTATTAGGCTTGTACAGAAGCTTAGAGTGTTTCAATCATTTTTCTTAATGATATTTCTTAGTAAATTCAAATATTATATCCTCTCTTCCATTAGTGCTAGTTTTAGTCAACATCATTTTTACTCTACTTTCAGCCATTTTTTTTAGTTCTTTTTTCAGTTTTCATAGTATTATTATGTTTATACATGCTTTTTGTACGAATTTTTAAAATATAGATAGAGATCTATCTGAATTATTTGGATTTAGATTTTTAGCATGCTGAATCCTGCTTTTTCAGTAGTGGCAATTTTTACAAGGGAAAAGTATATATATATATGCAACGAGGGCATACAATTTTCAATTTTTTTAAAAAATAATTTTTTGGCCCTGTGGTTTTTGTGTTCTAACAATAAAAGTTTTTTAAAAAGTCTAAAAATGCTGCCCTCTAAGTAAAACATTTGGTAGAAGTAAAATTATGATCGCTTTTGTATGCCTGCTGATCTAATTAATAATGCTCTGATTATAAATAAATTCTCTAACCAAAAATAAAAGAAAAAATGATTAGATTTATAAGCTTGAATCTTTTAATAAATTGAAGAAGGAAAATCATTAAAAAAAAAATTTAAACAAATTAAAGGAAAAATGCAAAAAAACTAATTGAAATTATCAATTTGCATATTAAATATATCAATAAAATTGATGTTTAATTATTATCTTTTATTAAATTAACTTCTAAGAAATTTCTTTGAATGTATATATGTTATTTTAATGTGTGTATGTATTAATGTATGTATTTATTAATTTATTCAATTTAATTTAATTGGCTTATTCTTTATTATTACTGATAAAAGGCATATATCTTATAATCTATATATGTTGCGAAACAGTTTTTACTTTTGAATATTTATTTCATTTATGATAAAAACTTTAATCAAGAAGAAAAAAGTTTTTAATTTTAAACAGGCATCATCATTCGTGTTTAGTGGCAGTAGAGCGTTTTAAAGAGGCAGTGCATGAATTATTATTATTTGAGATTGATGGCGTTTATTACAATCATTAAACGCAAAATATTTTTAAAGTTATCATGATTATCAGTTTAAGACTAAAAACAAAATGAAGCTAAGGAAATGTAGAATATGATGTATAAATTTCATACTCATTTTTTAAAAAAAGCTTTTGAATTTTATAGTCTAAAAAGTCGAAAATAACCATAAGCATTTTCTTTTCTCGAATATCTCAATTTTTATGATCTCAGCAGCAAAATTGTAAGCTAAAAAAAGGGAGTATTATTATTAAATGTATGTTTATTGAGCTGGAAATAGGCAGATTCTTTTAATTATTTATCTATTTTCCTATTAGTACTAATAAATGAGGTATCTTTAACTTACTCATAAATAAAGAACTTAGAATTAATATAAATAATATAAAATTCAAAATTTTTACAGAAAATTGACATAAATAAACATTTTTTTTTCAATTAGTCAATATAATATTTTATTTTAAAGATATAAAAGTGAAGATTCTTAACTTAATAATAAATTTTAAAAACAAACAGATATATTTTCTTTTTATGTTATAAATCTGCCAAGGTTACAAATAGTTAGATTGAGCCAAGTAATTCAAAGCAAAAGAAAAGAAAGAATTAAAATTCATAATTTTAGTTATTTATTAAGGAAAAACGTATTTGTGACGAATTAATTAAATTAAATCATCTGTTAATATACTGAGCAATACAATAATGAGTTTTGATTCCCACTAAAAAAAATAAAATAAATATGATAAACTGGTTAGATAATTATTTGTTTTTTTTTTGTTTCGTTACTCAAGAACTAAACAAGTTATATCAAGGGATATAATTTCTATAGCTTATTTTATCTTTATTTTAAATATAAGAACTTGCTCTTTTATTAATTTAGGAATATTTATTTGAAAAAAAAAATGTGATTTTTATAGTTATTTAGCCTGTTCAGGACTAGAAGTCTTAGTAAAGGTAGGCGCATATGGTTAAAAATTAAGATATATAAAAATCAATTATTTTTTGAGATTATCAATCTGTATTGTTTTAGGATTTATGTTATTTAGAGGATGGGGATTCAATCAATATTAAGTTATCTTATAAAAGAAATTTACTTGTTTTTTATGTTGCGCCTTAAAGAGGGATTTATAAATCTGAAGCATATTCAGCTTAAAATATAAATTATTTATTAATTAAAAAATTAAAAAAAAAAAAACTAAATGTTAATAAAGGAATACCTCAAAAAAGGCAATCTGCTTTAAAAGTTTTTTTGTAAATAAAATAAAATATCATATCTATTTTTAATAAATTTATTTTTAATTTATAAGATCTGCTTTTGCTAATAAATTTGATTTCAGCATAATATAACTTAATTACTGGGTCATATAGTAGTATAAATAATCCCCTTGTACAAAGTGGTTAAAATATATGCTCAATTAATAGCCTTATAACATAGAATCCTAATGGAGTATTTATTAATATCCTATATTAATAAGTGTATCTCTTTTTTTTTTCTTGAAAAAAATTCTATTTTATTTATTTTATTTTAAAAAAAAGTCCTTCTTTTAAAGCTATTTATTACAAAATATATATGAAATCACCAATGTTTATTGCATAATCAAAATTGTAAACTAAAGGTAGTAGCGGTTAAGTAATTTAATCAGATTTAAATTCATCTGATGGTAGGTCTTGTATTGACGCATAACAATTTATGTATAGTGCCAGTTTTGATGATAGTATAACTTTTAGTAACTACTAAAACTCAGCTGATATTATAATCAATAATCCTTCTATTAGAAACGCTCATTTTTATATATTTTAAATAACGCTTTAATAGATTCAGGTATTTTAGAAATTTAATTGAATTCAAAAGATATTTTTTTAAAAATAAAATATAACTATCAAAATTAGTTAAATAATTAATTACTCTAATTATCAAAAGTTGATCATTAAATTAGTTTAGTTATTTACTGCAAACTTCTTTAAAATATTTTTTATTTTTTAATTCGATTTTAGAGGAAGGCAAAAAAATAATGATATTAATATTTGCTTTTTCTAAAGAATAATTGTATTACTTTAGGTAATACTTAAATAGGCATTCAGCTACCCTTCCACCTTCCTAATTTTGTTTAATAAAATTATTTTCTGCAATTTTAAAAATTCATATCTTTTTATTTGCTTACTTTTAATTAAAATAAAAGTGTCAAGAAGGGTGTTACGATTGCCTTGATGGTTAAAACTGCAAAGAAAATTCTTGCCTAAGTGGATTTAATTACATGATTTCTAGTCATTTTAATTAGAATTAATAAATTTGCAATAGAATTTGCCCAAATGGATAATATACTCATTTTATTGGTTAAAATCCTCTTACGTAAAATTGTTAAAATTGTATTAGCAATTGCTTAATCTGTACTGATCAAAATCAATGCAGCTAATGTATTACTGGATACTATTTTGATTCTCAATAAAAATTATGTATTGTAATGTTACTTTTTTTTATTGAATTTAATTTTTAATTATTTGAAGTTAAGATTTTTTGAAATTAGTTAGATTAAAGACAGACATAAACTTGATATATTTTTATCATGAAATTGAATTCTATTTTTAAAAACTTTTATTGTTTTTATTTCCATAATTTAAAAACTTCAAATCTATTTTGATTCGTTAATTAATTATACTCTTTACTTTAGAAATTAACATGTGTTGAAGGATGCTCTAATTGTAGCTAAAATAAATAAAGCTGTACTTAATGCATGAGTGGATACACTTAGATGGTGAATCCAAACAATAGCGCCCTACAGTACTGCTAAAAAAATTGTGCAGTGGGATAGTACAATTTCGTGATTGAAAATACTTACATGACATAGTAGTGCAGATCTTGTATTGCTAATTGCCAAACCTGTACTGGACCTAATGACTGCAGTAACTGTTATTCTGGATATGGATATAATTCTCAAACAAAATAATGCGCAGTAATTATTTTCCATTATTTTATCAAAATAATTATTTCTAACTACTTTAGAAATATAAAATTATAAATATTAATTAGTTTTATCTTAAGAATTAAGATAATTTTTTTATAAATTTAGTTTTTTAAATTAAAGCAATTTTTAATTTTAAATTTATTTAACTTCTTAATCAAATATTTTATTTTTCCCTAAAATAGCAATGTTATCAAGGATGCTCTAATTGTAATTAAAATTTAAGTTGTACTCAATGTTTTAGTGGATATACTTAAACTACAAACCCAAATAATAATTCATAATAATATTGCAAAATGATTTGCCCAATAGGATAATTCACATTTATTAATTGGTAAACCATGGCCTAGTAGTGCAACCCCTGTATAACAAATTGCACATAATGTTCTCAAGATAAATAATGTGACAATTGTGCAGCAAACTATGAGTTCATTCAATAAGTATATTAATGTAAAATGATATGCCAACAAAATTAATATAGAGAATCAACTTTATATAATTGCACAA